TCCTCAGAACTCTAACACTGCATACCCATACCATGAAAAGAAAACAAAGATTTTAAGCTGTAATTTTTATAGGAACTAAGAAACAATTGTAAACCCAATTTCCCAAACACTCAAGGTGTCATTCTCTGACTTATGAGGAGACCACACTGTCTATGGAGCATTATTCCTTCTCTAATAAACTCTCTTTTCTGTCTCTAACTCTGGCTTCTTGAATTCTTTCATGTGCAGAGTCTAGGATCCTCCCTCTCTAGGTGTAGGACCTGAGTCCCTGCTTGGGAGGATTACTCCGTCTCGCATCATCCTTAAGTGGGTGGCTGGTTGTGGGGGTGCTGACAAGGTGCCTGGTATGTTCAAAGAGCCCCCTGGATCCCTGCAAGTTCTCTTGTTTTCCTCTTCCTACCCCAGCCCCTGTCTGTCTCATGCTCCCTCTAATGTAAGGAGGAGGTAAGAGAACTAAATGTTAAATCAAGCTGTATTCAGAGACTGCAATAAACTGATCAGCCCTAAGGCCAGACCATGAGGAAACAAAGGAAGATTTCTACTGGCATTCCTACCAAATCATTTCCTCACACCTTGAAGGGAAAAAGAGTCTTTAAGTTGCACCCTACACAGAATAGAATCATTCACTCCCTGTGGCTAAAACCGCGGGGAACCTATGGATCAAAGGCAGGAATTGCCAGCAGGCCTTTCATGCTACGTACTCTTAACTTTTCTGCTACATACGCTTATCCTTTCACATTGTAGTTCCCTACTATCAAAGGAAAATGGGTAAACAAAGTCTATAAACTGTAATTCACAGAAACTAAAGAACAATGTATAAACTGAATTCCCTCTAGACTTGAACTCAGACCCCTTTCAGCGTCTTTACTGTCTCACTGTAAGTCACTGTCTCCGTCTGTCTGAGTCCCTCTCACTTTCTGCCTCTAAGAGGAGACCACGCTCTGTCTATGGAGTGTTGTTACCCCTTCTCTTACAAACTTTCCTTTTGACTCTAACCCTGGCAGGTATTTGAATTCTTTCTTGTGCTCAAAGAACCCCTTTCTCTTTCGGTGCAGGGCTTGAGTTCCGCCCGTTCAGAGGAATTTGCCCCGTCCTGCATCATCTTTTCTAGCTAACCAAAAAGGGACAGAAGGACATAAACTCGATTCACCCAATCGCCACGGCTCCTCTGGGAGCATCCTCTGAGCTGTACAGATCAACTGGCCTTGGGCAAACGGTTAGCTCTGTTTCCAGGCATGTGGTTGAGGCTAAGTCCTCTAACTGGGCAGGAGGCCACCAGCCGGTCCTGTCTGCTTTGCCTACTTCTCTTCCTCTAACGTCCCTAAAACTCCGCGTGTCCATTGGAATTGCAGAGAAGACGTGCTGAGGGTCCCCTTCGGAATTCCAAGTTAAAAGACTGTGTAGCACCTTTGGGCCACGACAGGACAGGTAAGTCCGGGGAGAGGAAGGGGATTTTCTGTTCCTTCCTCCTGGCCCCTTTGCTTTCATTTTTGCTGGGGGCTTGCAACGGAGGAAGCGGTGGGCCGCGGAAGCTTGCCCTGGCTACTTCCCCAATCCGGCGGGAACTCTGACAAGGAGGCGGAAACACGGTAGCTGCTCCAACTGCACTCTCTCCAACCTCCACCTCTGCCTGTCCTATCATTCTGTCTGTCTTATCGTTCTCTGCCTGTCCTATCCTCATTCTGTCTGTCCTGTCCTCATTTCTCGATTGGCTCTAAGATGCTGGAGCAAACTGCCGTGCACATACCTTTCCCTCAGCGGGGAGGGCCAGGAAACCACTCAGCGCACAGGTCCCCATTCAAGCAGTGCGACCCTCTCACTTTGGGCCCGCGCGCCTCACTGTCAGCGATCGGTCACCGCTCTGAGTCTAGAGTAGGCACACCCATGCCTGGCTGGCTGACCCTGCTGCACTCCCTCCTCCTCCCTTCCGCTCTCCCAGGGGGCACATGCAGCCCAGGAAGGGACCCACCAAGAAGGCAGGGTTGGTACCCAGCTTCAGGCACGGCTTCGGATGCAGTCCTGCACCTGCGGGCCTCTCAGCTGGCAGGAGGACACGTTTTCAGTATCAGGCATCCGCTGAGGCTGCGTCTGTGGTCATAGGGGTTAAGTGCTTTCACCCAATCTGCTCTGGTTCGATTCTCCGGGAAGCTTTTTTTTTTTTTTTTCTTTCTCTCCTCTCTTCTGCCCCTGGCAGAGTGCGCACACACCAGCCACGCCCCATGGGCACCGGGAGGGCAGCTGTTGGTGTAGCAGGCTGCAGCACTTCCTCGCAGCAAGGACCAAGAGGTTCCACCTCCTCCCAGACTAACAATGGGAGAGAGACTAAGAGGTTTAGCTTGTAAACGGTTCTTTGAACTATGATTCTGGCCTACAATTAGATCCTGTCTTTTTGCAAAAGACAGGAAAAGCGGGAAGAAATCCGCTGTGTATGAGCGTTTATGCTCCTTTACCAAGACCCAGACTTATTAGATGGCCCAAGGATAGGAGCGCCTTCCCAGAGACCTCAAAATAATCGGGAATTATCTCCTCCCCCTTCACCCTCCTACTCTGAGGGGGCACTGAGTTCTCCCGGGACCCCATCTATTCCACCATTCCCTGAGGAAACTAGATATGCCCCCTCTGGGAAGCTGCAAATGCTGATGGGGGAATAATAAGAGTACATGTTCCATTTTCTATGCCAGACTTAGCTTTATGCAAAAAAAAACTCGGCAGAAAAAAAAAAAATCGGCAAATTCTCTGAAGATCCTAGCAGATTTACTGATGAATGTGAAAAAACTTACTGTGACTTATGACTTAATTTGGCAAAATTAAAGATCTTGTCAGGTGTTTCTAACTCTCAATAACTTTAAAGGTCTTGCAGATAACCAGAGATGTAAACATAGCTCCTACGCCTGAGGTTGAGGGAACCAGAAAGGAAAAAAAGGGGGCACTTTTAAAAACAAGCTGGCCAGTCCCACAAGCCATACTCTGCCCCCACCTTTTCCCCAGCCTTCTTAAAACTGTCAAGAGCAAATGAAAAATCTCGAGTTCTCTACAGACCCCATCTACTCTATCACTCCCTGAGGAAACTAGATATGCACCTCCCCTCAGAGAAGTGGCAAATACTGATGGGGGACATGACTGCTAATATCCATATTTTTAAGTGTTACGTATATATGTTTTTTGTTTTGCCTCTAGGTGGTATTACCAGTTTAAAATATTTAATTGGCTTGGAAAAAAAAAATTAAGCACTGACTCAAGTTACTTTTCAGAATCACGTGATCTACGAAAATATTTGATACTGAGGCCAGTTTTAAGTTTTGGTTAAATAGACATGCCTTTTAGAGTTATCAACATTAATTATTAGTTAAGTCTGAGTTCACCATTTTTGGCTTCTTATTGCAGAAAAAGCTAAAAGATAAATTAGAATCTGTTAATGAATGCCTTGTACCTCATTAAAAATGTTTCTTAAAAATCGTAAATATAATGCCAACAAAAGCCTATGCTGCTAGAGGTTACAAAATGTATTCATAAATTTGTCAGTCTAAAGAATGTTAATTGCTTACTTTTTAGTTGCCACTAAAAATTGAGGTTCCTAAGAGTTAAGCGCTCTAATTATGATGGAAAGGAAAATGTATGGTTTTGGTAATAGAAGGTATAAAATATGGAGATATATTTTGAAGGAAATTAAAGGAAAGTGGTTTGTCCTAATGTTGGTTATTTCTGAATGAGTAAGAAAGAATAAAGAACGTTGCAGAAGTTTTGTGAAGAGAAATCTTGAAAGAGGAAATTTTATGTGATTGGAAATAAATTGAAATATCAAAAGTAAGCTAATGCAAAATTAGAGTTGTGTTCTCTCTGCTATATAAGACAATGTTTCTTGGACTACTGGTCTGTTACTGATATTATGGAAAGGTTTTCTGAGTAGAAAATAAGGATTCTGTGCTTCATCAAAAATAATGTTCTGTGTTTTATGTTGTCTTAACCAGTTTTCTGAGGCTTTTAGAAAATATACTCATATTGACCCAAGTCTGATGAGGGCCAGACACTCCTGGCTACGCATTTCATAACCCAGGCTGTGCCAGATATTCAAAGGAAGCTCCAAAAGTTGGAGACTGGACCCCAAACCCCACAGGCTGCCTTAGTGTCAA